TTAAATTAATTTTCTCCGTATCACGTCTCAATGAGTCTTCCTCTGATTTATTCTTCTGATTATCTCATGCACATGCTCATTTCTATAAATCTTTTTTTAAAATGATTGAGTAACAATATTGGCTAAAAGTAATGCTTTTATGAGGGGATAATAGATTAAGAAATTTTCATTTATACATACGAAACTTTTAGCGATTTTATGATTGCTCCGAAATGCTATAGTCTGATTTGTATTAAACTATATTTGCTCTGTGCATCGTTATAAATGTGACAACAATGTGTATTGTGTGTGTGATTTACTTATGAATTTTTAATCTGTAAGGTGAAATATTGTGATGTATTGTGATCATACATTCTATTCGTAATTGTGATTTTTTTATATTGTTAAGTATAAAATATGTCGACAAAAGTTAGACATAATAAAAAATGGATTAATATTACATTAATCTCGTACGTCACATAATGTAGTAGTCTCATATTATTATATCAGTGCTTTATCACTAAGTAGTGTGACAAAAATCTTCAAATTTCAAACTTTAATTTCTCAATAATTAACAAGTGAAATATTGTAATTTTTTTGTAAAAACTTTATTCTGAATTTATTTATTATTAACTAGTTTTTTTAACTGTTTTTAATCAAAACCGTAAGAATAGTTTTTTTATTGCAGCACATAATTAAATGTAACATCCACTTTTGCTATAAGACACTGTGTAAAAGTTTCTTACTTTGAAGTCAAATATCTCAGTAATTAATAAGTCAATGTCATCGAAATTGTGAGATTATATTTTTTGAAATCTCTAAGTACAAGTAATATAAATTTGAATAATTTCTTAAAAAAATTAATTTACGCTCGAATCACCTTAAGTTATATCATAATACGTACATAAGATGTGCTTATTTTTATGCTTAAGGAGAAATTCTACTTTAGCAGGCCAAAAAATAAGTAATTTTTAAGAATTTTTTTTAAGAAAATAAAAAAAAATATTGAAGTGTGAGATATCTTTTTTCATGAAATACATTATAGGTTGTTTTAATAAAAAATATTTTTTAAATCAATTTTTATTAAAAAATGTGACGTGCAGTTATCCGTAAAATTAATCCGTTCGGCGGAATGGGTTAATCAGTGGGCGTAATAGCATTATAATTGTTGATTTGAAATAAAAAAACCAAAAATTCTTAAAGTTAATAAAATTATCTAGTACATAAATCTAAGAAATTGAAAAAAATTAAAAATTTACAAAATGGCGGTATTCCAAACTTGGAAGTAAATTTTTTTTTTGTTTTTTTTTGTTATTTTAGACCCATTAAAAGATAGTAATTAAAAAAAGGATAGTAATTAAAAAAAATTGTTATATATTTTAGGTTCATGCATTAGTAAAAACTATCTGCTTCACAACAAAACAAAACCGAAGTTAATCAATCGATTCGTTTCAGAGATATTATGTCATAAGTTTTGAAAACATGGTTTCGAGAAATTCACGTATTTATAGTTCCAAACGTACTTCTATACCTTGTTCCATTCAATAGCGTGTAAGTCCGAGAATTTTCCGAATTTAAAAAAATCTCTTATTTCACATATTTTGGAAGATTCAAGAGGATACACAGAGGATTCAAAAAAATGCAAAAAAGATTTTTTAACCTTTCAAAATAAAAACTTCCCTTAAAATAATAAGATATGTTCAATGCATCTGATTCAAACAGCAGTAAGTTTTATATTTTTTTAAAGAAATAAAGCTATTTATTTTATGCCAAGTAAACATTTGTCATGCAAAAACTAAAAATTTCTAATATCAATAATGTATTTTTTTGAAGCTCTAGAGGGAAATAAATACTTTCTCAATAAAAATAAATTAAATTAACAAATTTATGTATTTATTACATAATATTTATAGTAATCATAAATACTATAACTCGAGATATTCCTCGCGGGCGTTCTACCATTCTATATTGCGATCTTCATGTTTGATGGAATACGATGCATATTCCGACGCGTACAGAGTTGTGCACGAGATATTTCAGTTAGCTAGTTACAGTGGCTGCTGCTAAGATTGCTATCGCGAAGCTGCCGGCTGCTGCAGTACTTGTTACTTTTAGTTGTTGGACTTTACTCTCCTATCCTCATCCTCGTGGCTCGTCCCGTGAGCGAATAAAACGCCGGGTAGCTCGCACTATCCATTTATGCTTGCTCGCGTACACTTTATAATTGATCCGCGTCGCGCTGCGCCGCACCATACCGTGCCGCCGTGAGGAGAGCGGGGAAGAATGCAATTCCAGTTCCCGTTCGCATACCTTTCGGTACATTCACGCTCGCGTCGAAAAGAGTCCCCTGGACGTTGGCGACGCAAGCCGATACTCCCGCGGGCACGACAACACCGGGCGCGAAGGATATGTTTTAAACCGCGAATGCACTGTTCAATATCTGTACTCTGTCACGTGAAAATTATTCTTTCACCCGATATTTCTTTCAAAGGTAACTTAATCTATCATTCAATCCTGTAATTTACTACAATATACGTATAGAAAGTTCTACATTTTTATTATATTGTACTTTGATTTCGGAATAGTTGTTGCAAATTTAAGAACACATGCCATAAATGTTGAGACGTGAATGTGAGGTACGTAGAATATTTCGTATAATCATAGCATTATAGATAATGCTATGATTTTTTTTTACATTCGTCAACTTTGAGCAAAGCAATAATATGAGAATTTGTTTTTTAAAGATTCTGAGATAATAGACTTATTTCCGATTGTTCTATAAAAGATAAATCCATTTTATCTTCAGGAAACACACAAGTGTTCTATTGAATATTGGATTTATATGGAAAATCATCGAAAAAGTGTGTCTATCATTCTGAGATCGATTGTATACTTGTTATCTAAATTTAAAATAATGAATTATCATTGAAATAATGGAATAAATAAGAATTGTTTTCGAACATTCTTAACATGTAATAACATCATATTTATAATATAATAAAATTATATTTATATACATATCTTTGTAACATAATGCAATAGTGATAAGACCGAAAATTATTTATTTCACTGAACTAGAAATAAGCAAGATTCAATTATTTCTTTAAATTGAGTATTTATTAAATATAATATCATAATACTTATTTTATTGTTATATAATAGATATAATCATAAATTTATTCAGTCTTATTTATTTGTTTTTTTTTTGTTTCAGCCACCTTGGAGGAGACGTTGGACTTGTCATTATCATTGCAGGATTATCAACTGCAGGAAGTGACTCTGTACGCGAAACAAAGGAGTCTGGGCCAGACATTGAGCACGCAAGACATATTGGCGCTGCAAAGACAGGAAGAACGACGCCGACAACAAAGTAAACAAAGCGTGTTCGGTTTCGCGTTCAAAAAGTCCAAAGAAAGCTCTTTGAGCATGGACAGTCTTGGGGGTCGCAGCGTGTCACCGGCCAGAAGTGATGAGACCACAAGAAGCGCCAGTCCCCTTCAGCCGCCGACTCGGCCGCAAAGAAAGAGGAGACCAGCTCCGAAACCGCCCGCCGATATTGCATCAACTGTTCGGGATGCATCCGGGAACATCGGCGGCAAAGATAAGATGGTGATTAATCACAGCCGTAACAGCAGCGACAGTTCCGGTTACCATGAGGCCTCCGTACTCAGCGACAATCCGGATTCTACAGCGAGACTACCGGAAACCCTACCGAGGAGAAGCAGAATGCCGGGAATGTCCGATACTGCCAGGAGGTTGGCGCAGACTTCGCAGTCTAGCAAAAGTCTGGGTAATTTGGCGGTACCCGGAGAAACACTCAATCGAGGCATCAGCAGCACTTGCCTCAGCTCCACCGGTGAGATATAATTTTTTTTTCTCCTTTTTATGCGCTGAATTTGAATCCTGTCTCAAAAAAAGTGCGTATGATATCATAATTTTTTTTGGAATAACATGTAAATATGACCAAAATATTGATATAATACGCATTATTTGAAGTCAAATTTTGATTTAGTGCAAAAAATTACAGAAAATTATTCTTCTTTTTCATACAACCATGAAAACATAATTTTCTAAGTTATTATATTTAAGACATATTAACACACATTATACATTTTGCTGCACATTCCGGTTTTTAATTTTATGATATTCTGATTAAATTGCTCACAGATTCAAATTCAAGTAAGTTTAAATACTTGTAACTATTGTACAATATATATAAATTATTTTCTATTAGATACATACGTGAAATATACATACACATGCATGTATGCATGACGTGTACGTGCATGCGTATTTGTAGTGTTTCTAAATGGTATCGCAAAATTTATAAGTGTATTCTACGTCTCAACAAACAAAGAAAAATGTTGTAAATAAATACGGATTCGTAAACGACTTTGTTTTCAAGATACAGTTATTTTAAATTATAGCTTGAATACATGGTAAAATCTTTTAAAAATCAAATAATTATATCCGCAATTAAATAGAATTCTACTTATACGCGGAAGGCATTGCTACTTTGCACAATATTTCAGTCAACACAAATCCGTTTGCTTGCATAGGTCTTCGAAAGAAGAGAGCAGCTCCTCCCCCGCCAGCGTCCAGACCACTTTCGTCAGCTATTTCCACGCAGGCCTTAGAACGTATTGTCGACTCTGAAGAGTCGTTAACGTCCGACATAGATCCTTCGAAACCGCCGTCAGATATTGGTGCGCCGTCGAAAGCCAGTTCCGACATTGACTGCTCTAAAATCAATTCTGATATCAGCGCGCAGTCCACGGGCCTGTTAAGTCACAAACCAAAGCCAGAAACTGTGATGTGCGAATCCGATAGCAACATTCAGCAAAATTGTGCGATTGAAATGAATGTTGAGGCGCGTTCCAAATCAAACCCGGTTGACTGTAAACTAGCTAAAGTGGATGCGGAAAAGATCGCACCCGTAGAAGTTGCTTTGAAAGTAGAGCAAGCTAGAGTAGCGGCGAAGAGAGGTAAGCCAGCCTGTATTTCGAACACTTTGTCTCATAGTTCTAAATCGCAAGATTCTTTGGGAAATTTGCATCAAGTCGGTGAAAGTGGAGATGTGTATAATAGTAATAACTTCCGCACTGTATTACATCCGGGAGAGTCTTCGGTGTCAGAGAGGAGAAAATTGTACGCTGCTAACCAAAGATACCGTTTGCAATATAATAATCCTGTGAATGCTGACTTTGCAAATTATGTTTCCGTTGGTATTACAATTAAAGATCACATTCAGAACACTGCAGATCGAGTGTCCCGAATTTGTCGAAAGTCCCACAAGAGCCTCACAAGGTCTCAAATAAAACCGAGTTTATATGAAAATTGCAAAAAATCAATTTCTTTTAACAGTCGTGAACATTTCGTGAACAAATCGAGTAAGTTTATGTGCCATGTCGATCATTGTACAAAAAAATACAATTATAACAACAAACAATTGATGTTCGCAAATTTGGAAAATAGGTATAATCTCAAATTATCGGATAGCGATATTTTCCGCGATAAACGTGATAAAAAAATCTTAACATATAGTAGTAGTTTTCAGGAGAAAATAATTTCGAGAGAAATTAAGCTAGCGAATTCGTTCGAAGAGCCAAATTTAATTTCATTGCAAAATGTTCGTTCAAATGATTCTAAAATGCCGGCCTCATCGGAATTTGTCGTTTGCTTCCCGAAATTAGATAAAGCAAACACGACAAAGTGCTATACGGAAGTAGTTTCCAACAAAAACCAAGAAGCTTGCAATCTCTCGGAGCAATATGTGGAAAGTGGTTTGTTTCCCCCACCTTTAAGCACTTTGCAGATATTCGCGATCTCTACGAGACCATTAAACATTCAAGTAGCACCTACAGATTCCGTGTCACGCAAGATAGACGAGCTACCCTCGCCACCTATTATAAATCACACGGAAAGCAAATTAGAGGAAAAAAAATTAAGCATTTTAGAACCACCGCCGCCCGGTCTGATCAGTCGTCAAGAATCGAACGAAAACTGGAATCGTTTTTTGGCTCAGTTGAATTCGATTCTCGAGAATAGAACCGGTGAATTTGTCTAACCCGTTAACTATTAAAACATAAAAACGCTCTATTACCGAAAATAATTTTTATGAAAGAACAATTAATTTTGTATGAAGACTTTTTATAAAATACTAAATCGACATTTTTGAATTTGTAAACACAATGTAGTAATTCGGTTTTATGCGAAACTCTTTCAGAGCAAATTTTAACAATTATTAATTTAAAAATGCCACTTTTATCGACTTGAATTAGATGGTCACATTATCCATATATGTATTTCATCCACAATTTTTCAGTAATCTGTTGCAAATAATTAAATTTATTTAATTAATTTTATTTAAGATTTTAAATAAATTATTTATATTTGTATACATATAAAAAAACTTTCGCTTTGCTTAATTTTTTGAATTTTTTGGTTGTATAAATTATATAACTCTAGATACGAAAATTGTATTATCTAATAGAGTTTTTTTTTTGTACTTTATGAGGCGATATTATAATAGTTCCTTAAAAAGCAAAGTTATTCTAAATTTTTTTATGTACATATAATTTATGTAGACGTAATTTTGTATTATACCTTATTATTGCATCTTGCGATTCACGGCGATGTATTCTTGCACGCTATTTAGCTCCCAAACTGAATTTATATCTAAATAAGTAATGTGTCCTTATTGTGTCTTTTGTTAGATTTCAATTTATAAGTGTCCTTTATTCAACACGTAATACGAGAAATATAATTGAAAAATAATGAGACTTGAAAAGAGGATAATGCATTTAGAAAATCGATTTATAAATGTTAATTTCTTTCAAATATAATGCGCCGATGCCTCATAAAATGATTAAAAATCTTCTTTCAACTTTTGCAAAATCTTGTTACTATAAATATTTTTAATTGTTCTAAAATAATTTTTTACTGTAAATTTCATTTTAAAGAAAAGAAAATGCCACGTAGAGAAAGGTCCGACAAGTATGAAAACCGAGAAAGCACAAGAATTGATTTTGATGCCAAAACCTTACGTATCAAGGAATGCCATAATGTAAAATTCCATTTTTTAACTAATATTTTATAACCAACACTGTAAAGATATGTTTATTATATTAATGTTAATATCTTTTGTGTTTACGTAAGTTGAAGCTGAGAATTAAAATTAAAGAAGGATGATATTATCGCGAATAACATGTTTAGAAATATTACAGTGTTGTCACCACGAGAGATACAAACTTTATTTCATTACTTTTCAATCACACTTCTCGTAAATATATTTTCAGTTTGCTTGTTCGTATTTTGCTAGCTTGTATTATTTCGGTGACGGTTGTTTTCTTTTTTTTACACAAACTAGTTGGAGAACTCGCACCTCTTCCCAGACCTCGAAAAATTAACGTGGGCAAAGTTAATGTCATCGAACCTCCAAAAGCACCTAAGCGTAAAACACCTTTGCTTTTAATGCCGTCTAGAATCTTAAATATAGATTGCGCTACAAATGGTTTATCACATGAACATGTGAATTCTAAGCAAATCAGTGAAGCACACTGTTACACTTTAAATGCCGAGAATGCAATATCGTCAAATGAAAATAATCTTGTCGCACACATTAAGAAAGAAGAGATGCATTCAAAATTGAGAAATTATCCTACATCTCCTAATAAAGATCAAATAAGCCAATGTGATGAAATATCAAAAATTATCGGTGATACAATTAAACAAATATCTTTAAAATCAAGTCAAAATCATGAAATAAGAAGTAACCTTGAATTACATTTTAATTCTGTAGAACCATCTCCTGTTAATGCCGAAGAGGAGGTGCATTTCGAATCTAAAGATAAGATTACGAGTGAAGATAAATTCAATCAAAAGGAAAGAATATCAGATATTATTAATGATGTGGACAATCATGAATCATCAAGCTTGAACGAACATTTAAGTAATGAAGGAGACACTAAGCCACATTCTGTCTTGACAGAGTTAGATGTATTATCAACAAAATTATCATTACTTGAATCTGATGTTATTCTCGAAAAGAGAGAAGATAATATTTTAGAACAAGATAATGAGATAAAATCGAAAAATATTGATTTTCACGACAAAAAGAAAAATTGGCGTGATAATTTATTTATGTCATCAGATGATGATTCTTTAAACGAAAATATTATTAAACAAAATCGCGTGACTGAACCAAAAAGTCAACAATCGAAGGCGCATTATCGATTCATTAACCAAGAATCTAGAGCGAGAGAAATGATTTCTTTCTGCGAGATCGAAGAAAACGTCGAGGCAGCAAAATACGTTCATCTGAAAGACGCGATGAGTAGTCTGGAAAGAGACAGAGAAACATGCACAGTGATTTCTACCATACCGAAGTGCGAACATCTCGACATCATAAAAGAAAACAGCGCTTCAAACAACGCTGTAAAAGGTAGCGTTACGAAAAATATTGTCGAATTGTGCGAGAAGCGTCAAAATGATCAAAGCGAAGAATCGAATAATAACGCGAAGTATGTTAAGCGAGCAAAGGTGGTTCGGAGCCAATCCAAGTCAGATGACTTCGAGATGGATTCTTTAAAGAGACAGAGACGATATCTCACTTTGCCTACGGAGGACATCGCGTACGCTTTGAACCTAAATCTTTCCACACGAAACTCTGATACAGCGGAAAATAAACGGAAGCAAATTGCTGCGGGATATTGCACTAATTGCACAAGGGATATGGATATAGGTAGGAAAGAGTTGTACGGTGGATTAGTCACAGGTGCATGTCCTTGTTTTACTAATATTCTACTTTAATCCTTATTATCTGTTTTTAATCCTTCTAGTCTCGCATTCTTTTATAGCGCGCACAATTGTAATATTATATAAACACATACAGGGTATCTTATTTGAAATAAAGATCTAAAATATATCGGAATTAGATGGAGGTATAAAAAAAGAGTGATTTTAGACAAAAGTTACAAGATTTGAAAGAGAAAAAAGAAAAAATCATGTAAAGGTTATCTTAAATTTTTTCTTAGCCAAAAACCTCTAAATTTTATTCCATATTCTTGTAGCTGATGTTTTTAAAATAATATAATTGAACCTCCCCTTCCTCCAATATAAAGAAATATTCCTTTCAAGATATATTTGAATTTAAAGTGGGAAATATATTATAATATTGTACGTGTAATATTTCTGAATAATCTGTAATCATTTTGTATAGTATGAAATCATTGATTAATAAGTTTCAAATCATTCTATCAGAATATTTTTTGCAAATTTGTATGTTATATATTTAAATAATATCCACTTCTCTTGAAGGTGATGGTTATTTGCATACTGCGCACGTTAGAAACTTTCTAAGACCAAAGATTCGAGTTCAACGACCAAAAAAAAAAATAAATGTCATGTTTTATCAGAAAATTGTTCTATGAGTATATGTAAAAAGAAATATACATATATCTTTTTTAAGTATGCATTTACAAGGATAAAAGACTTGTGTAATGTCTGGCTAATTTTGTACTTTGTTCACTAGCAGCTAACCAAGATAACCCGTCTGAGATCGAAAACCTGCTACAGAAAGTATCAAACACTTTGTCGAATGTGCTACCGATCTCATCATCCCCAGTATCGGAGCCATCGTTGCCTCTCAAAATGAATCACACAACTGCATCTGTCCAAACGAATAATGCCGTTGTTCTTGACGATTCTGTAACTAAGTTAGTACTCGTTGGAATGAAGTCGAATGAGTTGTGTATGGACTTTCCAATGGGAAACACCTTAAACGCTAGCATGCCAAATGTGACTGGAATGGATTCGCAACAGGACACTTTAGACAACGTTTCGGCGATGAACGATAATTTGTCGATTAGCGATTGGGAATATCAGCTTCCAGCACCACCTAGTGCATTTCGCGATTCAATTTCACTTGTCTCTGATGATTACGACACAGTGATGCTGGGATCAGTGCAAGATTTCAAGAAATTGCCAGCAAATACGGTTTCAGATCAGGTTGATGCGAGGGATAATAGCGATATGAATATCGAATCGATGAAGAATTTATTGAACAATATCGATGAGAATTTTGATCAGAAAATTTCGAGTGGGAAAATGAGTTCCGTGTCCGAAGTGGAAATTGATATTAAACGAATAGAAAGCGAACCTGTTGTTAAGCAAACATCTGCCGTTTCCCACAAGTCGGCTAATTTACGAAAAGAAATTATTTCGGAGTTGGAAAATAAATTGGAGACTGGGGCGTTGGTACAGACTATCAGTAAGGATTTTGATAGGAGAAATATAGACAGTTTATCCGCGCCGCAGATAGCGCCCGTGGATAATACTCTGTCTAATTTCACTATTACTACTTACACTAAACCGACAAAACTGGATATTTTCGAAGAATTTAAGAACCCCAATGATTATGCGACAAATTCCGAGAAGAGGTTTATTAAAACATTCGCCACATTATCCAGAAATAAGACCAGTGCGCCGAACAATTGTGACAAGAAGACGACGAGTAAGTTTGAAAAGTCGGACGCGAATAACATCGATTGTAAAACGGAGCCAAAGATTCACAGTCAGGACGAGCCTTCCCACAGGTGGAGGTCCCTCATCGCAGCCAATGAAAAGAATAATATTCAACGATCCAAAAGTTATATATCGACATTCAGCAATGCCAAGAATCAAATGGAAGTGCAGGAAATTGGTGAAAAAAAACATGAGCCGCGTATTGAGTCGGAAACTACTAATGTGAAAAAAGCCACGAGCATCACTGATTTAAATGTCAATGTACGAACAAGTAAGGATAAATTTTCACAATGGAGAGACAATGCATTGAAATATCAAGAGGAGCCTACCAAAGAAAAACAGTTACAATCGTTGCAGGTAGGAAAGAAGTAATTTCAACAATATAGACTTTTAAAAAGAGCCCTGGAAGAATTTAATGTTAATTTTGTGCCATTTTTTTTGTAAAATAACATAAAATTGTTTTTTAATCCCTTGAAACTTGTAAATATTTGAAAAGGGCTGTTTTAAGCCTACTCATACTAAAGTTAGCTAACGCATGTAGGTGCGTATAGTATTGAATCACATTATTGCTTGATTGATAATTGTATAAAATTATTATTTAAATATTGTAGGTGCTGAAAAGCATTTTACCGCAGTTAAAAAATGCTCAACAAGCGGAGAAAAATGTATCCAAAGAAGACAAGAACACATTATCAATAAAAAAAATAAGGTAAATATATCACTTCTTATATTTCTCAAAAGTTTCTGTTGATCATTTTTGTGACTATAAATTTTATCATGAATTTTATCATTCCTAGAGCATATTCTAGAAATAAATAAATTAACTCTTTAAGTATTGAGGACACATAACTGCGCCATTATTTAAAAAAAGAGGAGAAGAAAAAGAAGTATTTTCCACGTAGGATTTTTTATGTAGAATTTTCACAAATCATCGACAGAGTTTTTGGATTTAAAATTGAATTTCTAATCATAATTTTCAAATTTAATATAGCACTTAATATCCATAATAGAAATGAAAAACCTACGGCAAAGATTTGTTGTATGAAATCGATTTTACTGTAATTAAAAATTATCCAATTATATTTATAAAAATAATATTTGAACGTAGTTCAATAGTTTTAAAATAGTTTTAATAGTTTTAAAATTTGAATAAAAATTACGAATGCTTTACTAATATTATTAAAAATAATGCTGTTTTTAATTTATTAAAATTTATTAAAATTTTTTAAAATAATACTCGTTGGCACGCCAACCATTATATATATTTTTTGAATTTTTTGGCTCGTAAACATAAAAAGTCCGCTGTCTCTGATTTGACAGCATAGATTTAAACAATTATTTTTTTTTCTTATCAAACTTAATTTCTAAGAGTTTTGTAGTTTTCAAATTTGAATTTAATATAAAAATTTCAAAATTATGTAAATGTCCAACAAACTTTAACAAACATTACTTTTATAAAACAAAAAGTAAAATTGAATATATTTTGAAACTGCAATTTATACACTTCATATTTTAATTAAATGTCAATAACTATTTTTTAATTTAATTATATTGTAATAGATATTTCGTATTAATATTAACATGCAAGATATTGCGTGAGATAAAAATAATTGAAAAATTGAAAAGATTGAAGACAAATTATAAAACATTTTACAGAAATATCATTAGTTTCTTCTATTATTTTTTTTAACATATTTAATTCTAAGAATATTTAAAATCTGTTATAATCTATATAGATATCTATGTTATTGTCCTTAAATCAAAATGCTTCAAACATTTAGCATTTAATGTTTATTTATCTCGTTATAATGTTAATACTTTATGAATATGCCGCTTTACAATTATTCACACTCGCGGCTCTCGATTTTGTTCTCTATTATACAAACAATTCTGCAACTATATGTTTTCTAACAATAAAATTATTTTGTAACAGATACGAAACTGGGTCCAACGAACATTCGATGAAAACGAATGTAGTTTCGACACGCGGTTCTCGAGAGTTTGAACCGGAATGTAAACAATTATCAAAAAAGGAAGATACGAAACGTTATGTTTATACTGGCCCACCTGCGATCAGTCTGGGTAGCTGGTCAGAAAGACCCAGTGTCAATGTTCAAATAAAAATGGATATCGATTATAAATTAGGAAAAAGCAACACAAATAGCAATAAGACTGTTAATATTAACATGAAAAACAAGAAGGATGCCACGAATTTTACCGATAATATCTGCAAAAATATTATTGATCAGCATGAAACCAAGAACGATTTTTCTACGAATAAAAATCCTGAAGAGCTCACAAGGAAACTAATTGCACATACTACAGCGTCGGGTTTTAAGATACCGTTATCGAGTCGAATCAACGTGTCCGATTCGAAGACAAATGAGGGAAATCCCATCGTAATGGGAATGGAATTAAAGAAAACTTTCATTGAGATGCCAAAGGAAATGCCGAGGAACAATGAGAACGAGGTCGACACTACACCGTTGAATTTCAAAGAATTGACAAAGGCATGCAGTCAGCATGCGAGTTTTAAGCAAAATCCTAAATGCGACAATATTAACAAACACTCGGCCGACTATTGTAGCGCACAAATGAAGAAGATAGAAGAAATCACGGACTCGAATGTCAAACAATACAATGACATTAAACTCCCGCAGGCATCCAATCAGAGCGACTTTTCGTTCAAGAATCAGCTCTCATTGCACGATATTGTACAGAGCTCACGGGCAAAAAAATTTACATCTATCGTGGGTATAAACGGAACGAGCCAGAATCTTGAGCTGCAAAGTGAAATGTCACTTAGAGGTAACGCCAATAACACATTGAAAATTAATCCACCAATGCCGGTCGTGAAAGGGTTTAAGATATCTACCACTAATTACAATACAACAAATAATCGAGAAAATCATAACGGATTATCGTCTATCGATAGTTTCAATAACGATCCGCAATTGCCTAAACCTCCAACTATGCCAGTGATAACGGGGGTAACACTGAAGAGTGCTACCGTAAGACTTAAATCGATGCCGATCCAATTAGACTCTAGAAATATGTTGTTGGAATCTATCAGGAACTTCGGTGGTCGTGAAAAGCTAAAAAGTGTAGGTATATTAGATGATGTAAAATTTATATTGCAATAGAATATCCATCTATATAACGAAATTCTTTGGAACTGAAACATATAAAACCGTGTTATACAGTTTCAATTTCATTATCTACACAGATGTAGACTCGTAATATAATTTTGAAATTACATAGCTCGTTTTTTATGTGAAATGTAAAATGTATGTTATCTATCCTTTATTGTATGAAACAGATTAAAATATGTTTTTTTTTTTAATTTCAGGCTGCAGAAAGATATTAATTGGACAGCCTCTATAAAAACATAAGCACACTTAATTAAAGCGCAATGAAGAAATTGCTCGAGACTTCAAGATTTATGAATTTTTTTTGTTCTTTCATTAAATTTTAATTTACATAATTTGTTTTCAAGTTGTCAAATGTGAGAATTATATTCTGAAAAGCTTTTCGCAAACAATATGTACAAATTATTTGAAAAATTTATATTTAATCCTAATATTCTACTAATAATAAGAAATAAGATGTTCTTTATAGTAACTGATATTATAAATTGTTAGAATTTTATTTACGTATAACTTCATATATAGTTATGGACAAAAAGATTGTGCGGCAATTAAAACTCCGTTGCGAGACGATGGAAATGTACATAGTGTACGACATTTGTTTGATCGTTGAAAAGAAAATACGGGAAATGTTTATTTTATTTACTTAAATAATTATCAATATTGCTCATTAATTAATTAGGAAGGAAAGAGATAAATAATTCTTTTTACTTCGGTAGTTTTATTTTAGGTTTGGTGTAGTATATACTAATAAAAGAAAAAAGATAAGAAAAAGGTAATGAAAGCAATACCAAAGTTAGTCGTGGATGGATCGATATCGGTATTAGATTTAATACTGAATACTAACACATCCGAATTTTCGCGATTAACTATAAGTTTCTATCAATGGGACCAAAGGTGTATCTTATTTTACATATCGTACAACGAATTTAGAGTTATAAGATGCTAAATACTGTGCTAAATACGAGATAGTGTTTTGAATTTGGTTAACTGAATTCTATCGAAACGATCAGATGTTATACGTTATAAATTTATTTACAATTATTTCGAAAGAAATTGTTATTTAAGATGTTGTGCAATTTATTTTTCTGTGTAACATCATATCGATATAATAAATGTATTATGGCATATATGTCTAAATACAAATTAGTTTTTGTTGGCATATCTATGGACTATTTATGTTTTAATTCCTTATAGCATAATTATTTTTATTCTTCAAACAAGCTAAAACTCGTATTGATCGAATTTCGAGTACCATTTGTATTTTTTTAAAATTCTGATCAAATAGGATTGTTAAAAATTGTGAAAAAATAAATTTTACACTCCTTTTGAAAGAATATATTTTACACTCCTTATACTTTGTTACTTTGTTACATCTTTGTGCAATTTACAATAACTTTTTATTTCGAGTTATAAAATTATTGTTAGAATAGTAATTCCATTTGCCAATAGATGCCAATGGTCATGCTGTCGTTTCCACCAATTATATTTTATTTATCTGTTACCATGGCAGCGGCCATGTTTTTGTTTCTTTTGTTCTTCGCTTCTTCACGTAATTCTTACTTACAGTCGCAATCACTACAATATAAAGTTCATACTCTCTTTATACTTTTTACGACATTATTCGAGGAATAAATATATTTTCTAAAGTGTATTTATCATAAAGCTCCAGTGTGTCTTTATTTGCTCATCCAGTGCGTACAGAAATTAAGTAATTGCCCAATAATTATATCTTCAGAAAAGCAATTTCTTATCTCGAGTAAAAGGGGTTCCTCATTCGTATGGTAAGTTCCTAATTACGGATAGGCTATAAGTATAGATAATGAATAGGAAATGAAATACCCAGGTAGAAAATTGGCCGGGCTTTACTAGATTTATGCAAATTTTAAAAAGGCTCCGGCCAGCAATATTCTGATAAAACTAGTCAGGGCTTTATTGTCTAGTTTCGAGGCAGGCTCTGGAAAGTTACCTGGGCTCTAGTAGATTTATAGAAATTTAAAAAAGGCCCCGGCCAGCAATACTCTGATAAAACTAATCAGGGTTTTATTGTCTAGTTTCCAGGCAGGCTCTAGAAAGTTACCTGGGCGCTAGTAGATTTATAGAAATTTAAAAAAGGCCCCGGCCAGCAATACTCTGCCGGAGCACAGACTTTTGCATAAAGCATAACGCATAAGCATAAGGAAATTGATTGGTCCATTTCCTTATGCATTTGCTTATGCTTATATATAGACCAATCAATTTCCTTATGCTTATGCATTACGCATTATGTAAAAGCTTGTGCTCTCGGCTATACTCTGATAAAACTAGTCAGGGCTTTATTGTCTAGTTTCCAAGCAGGCTCTAGATTGAAAAATATAGTTGTGAAAATCTTATACGTGCAGAAATACTTTAATACAACTACCCGGGTATATTCTAGTGGCTATAGACTGAACCCAATTTTAAAAACTAGATTTTCTTCGGGATTTGGAAACGAGATAAATTGATAAAACTCTAGATTTGATTCTGTGACCACGTGGAAATTTCGCTCATTGTAATTTGGATTATTTTGTTATTAAAATTTGTTAGTAGAACTCCTATATGTATATCTATGTATACAAAATATTTTGTGAAATATGTATTCTGCATTTTAAAAGAATTGTACTAGAAATGTGTATATCACAACATTACCTTCATCTTCGTCTGATGTGTCGCTAAGATATCTTGGCTTTTTCCTCTTTCGTTTTTTTTCTGCATTATTTCCAAAAAGAGCTTTTGTACACATGTCATCAGTATCTTCATTTGTAGAGGCGTTAATGCAGTATTCTTCAATTTGATAAGCTATTTAAAGAGACTCTAAAAAATATATTCTTTTAATTTGAATTGTATAGTAAAGTAATACTTGACAAATATGTAACATTAAGAAAAACGCACCGAAGGTCCTAAACATTTATGATATTCGTATGTAAGCCAATCATCATTTGGCTGTAGTAAATGCATTTTGTGTTTATTGAAGTATTTATTTTACGTGCTTTGGAGGCCAAAAAACTTTCTTTGATTCTAAATTCACCCAATTTGCTGGTACGAGATTACAAAAGTCGTTAAAAAATATTACAAAGTACTGCATCTGGAAATTTTATATCCAAATCACCTCTTATTATTCTTGCAAAAGAGGCATAGCATAGATATTATTTTCATGTGTTATTACAAATCCTTTACAGCTTATGCATTGTGCGGGCCACAATCGTAAAGGTAACAGATTATCGACTTTATATATCTTTAAGTAACTTGAAGGACACGGATAATTAGAAATGTCGCATTTATTCAGAAATTGTCTTCCAAGAATTACAATCATATTTTCTATTAATCCAATATGCTTGATAATCACGATAGTTTCATCAGTCATGAAACAACAGTTGTCCGGCCTCTTAGTCGATAATTGAAACATGCGGAATTGTAGAAATTCGATGTTCACTATGACAACCCAAAGGAAGTTGTGACACAACTGGATATTTGAGTAGAGGGTACTGCAAAATATTTAAATTCTTCTTGTTCTGGAGATGTTGATTGAGATGCTTTTCAAATAGTCGTTGATAAATTTGTTGTAAGGGATTTGCATGTTTCCGTATCATTCGCTTCAAAATTTGCATATGATTTTCAAAATCAAAAGTACTATATGAATCTAATAGTCCATACATCTTTACATCTTCGTTTAAATGAATAAGGTAATGAAAGTTACTTGTAACGTACTGTTCTCCATATAATGTTTTAAATTGCTGTACGAAATAAATCAGCAGTTCTTTAGCATAAGCGTTGTTTTCATAACAATCTCGAGAGTGGCACAATATTCGCATGGCACAATTTAGAGTGTTGAAATAAATTAAATAATTTTAAGGAAGAAAATGTTGCAAAATAATCGGTCCGAGATACAACAAAAACAAACGGAATTCAGTATTTTTCCAACGACATAGTTCCTGTAAACCTCGAGGTTTTATGTTGAATTCCTTAGGCACCCATTGCGCCATGATAACAATTAAATCTGATAATTTTTGTACAGCCTCAGAACTAAATCTTGGATGTCGACGATTATCTAACCAACTCATTAAGAGGGATTTCATTACACCCAAATATACCACGTGCAGGGAGTCAAGTGGAAATTGTTTTACCATATCAATAGGTAAAGATTCAAACGGTGAAACTCCAATATGATGTTCTTCGTTCATTCTACTTCTGAAATTAGCATCAGTTCGTAGTGGTGCTGATTCAGAAAGAAAAACTATTCGATCTCGAAAGTCGCCTTCTGCAGTACATTTGTCGCAGCTGAAGTATCCATTAAACTGTTTGGTACATTTAACATAAGACCGTGCAGGACTGTCACAAATTGTACATCGTAAAGTTACATTGTATCGTTTTTCATCTATGACTATTCCTTCATTTTGCAACTGTTTATATTCATTGATAAACGGTGCTAGGTAGTTGTAAACTGAAGACGGTTTTTTATTACCGTGATAAATCCCAATAATAAACGGCGTCTTCGAGAAACTATGGACAAGTTTTCCTAAAATAGGCCATAAACATGTTCCAGAAGATTTCGCTATGGGTAGACCATCAATATTTAAATCAAACATCAATTTTGTTTCATTGATACGAATTAAACCACATAATTCATTTTGGATAGCTTTCTTTAATCCATAATGAAGATATTCTCCAGGCGGACAATAACTAATTTCGACATTAGAAGTTCGAGGTGTTTTTAATAAAGTTCGACAATCTTTGGGCAAATTCTTCATTCCTGCCTTTGTAAGCAGTTGTAAAAGTCGATTAAAATGGATATGCTTCATTTGACTATTTATCGCAAATAATCTCAATTCTTCAATAAAATTAAAAGCATCATCCTCAACAAATTGAGAATCATTATCTTCCTTTTCTGAATCACTCTCATAGCGTGTACCGTTTAACACAATATTCTGTATAATTTGATCCTTGTGATCCAGCTGAATATTTTGAATTTCAATTATATTTTCTATGAAATCATGTGTCCCTTCTAATTCATTGTCAATTCTGGATTGAGGGTAATTTTTTTTCTCAGATTGGCCCTGCGTCATATTATAAGCATCTTCCGAAATTTGTAAATCATTTTCAAATTCTGAAGATAAATCATGAAGACTTAGATCTGCTTTTGATTGGACTTCGAGTCGACGGAAAACCTGCCGTTTTGACAATTCAGAGTACCTTTTACGTTTCGGCATATTCCTATAATATAATAACAATTCGTTATAATGTAAAACAATATGCCAGTTTACTGATAAGAGAATTATTTTTCAGGTAACCCAAAATGTAAATAATTGTAATCCAAAGAATCTTACCGTAGTAATACTTGTTCTGCTACAATATTAAAAATGAACCAAATGGCGACGTTCATGAGCTTAGAAACTAGATTTATTCTGTAGGTGTTGCTGTTAAGTGTGACGATTTAAAAATTGCCACTTATTTGTCGAAGTAGGTAAAAGTAGTGTCATTCAAAGTATTATGCAAAAAGTGTGTAACAAACACAATGTGATGGAACATTAAATGCAAAAATTAAAACTTTCAACGATATAGATCAATATTTTCATTCACAATAAATTCCACATGTATGTCACCTATCGATATGATCAAAGAACACACTTATATACCACAAGCCACCATTAAGAGATTGTAGCATAAGTGAATAAGCAAATCCAAATTTTTAGTTGCAAAGAGAAAAATGAAGGCTTGATGCATGAAGAAAGAGTTCTTTAAGCTAATAATAAATTTTGATTTAATATATTATTTTATTTAAAGAGAATGTTTCCCTCATATTATATTCAGATATGAAAAATTGATTTCAGACTTAAATTTGAATAGTACTAGCAAATATACAGAGATTTTTTCCAATACAATTATTGGCGCGCAGTTCATGAAAGCTAGAAATGTATATTTAATTCAGAAATAAGTATTAGGCACTAAGATCCGCTATGGCCGTAAAGGCGTTGATTTTAATTGTATTTGAGAAATTTTTATTTAGGAAGAAAGGAAATCACAAAAAAATCAATTTTCACAAACATGCATTTCACAATGCAAAACAGTGCAAAAAACATAATATAAGAAGTTAAATGATGAAAGTTTGAATGTATAAAAGCTTAAAATGATATATATATACAGAGTCTATAGTCTGTAACCACCCTTATAATTGTGAAAATTATGGAAGTTACGCAAGAAACATTTCAGATAAAAATTGTATGGTCTGAAGGGGACCATGTGATAGTAAAATTAAATTTTGAAAAAAATCAATTTTTGAAGGTCATACAATTTTGAAGGTAATTGCCATTTTTTAAAATAAAATTATATAATTTTTTTGTGGAATATGGTTCCTTTGATTATTCTGCATATAAAAGTATTAAGGTACAGATTTCAAAAAATGATATTACACGAGCTATTTTATATTTTTGACATATTTCGACATAAAGTAGAAAATATTTTGAAAATTATTCATGTTTTGGCAAGTGTACCTTAATACTATTATGCACAAGATAATAAAAGATAATGTAATAAAAATACATTGTTGCTTAAAAAAATTACATTTTGTAATCTTTTTTCTGAAAAGCAAAAATAAATTTTCTCTATGTCAATTGATTTCTTTCTTATTATTCTGTGCGTGAAAGTGTTAAGATATGAAGTATTAAAATACGACTTCTACAATTTATTATGTTTAAATAATTTCATATGTCTTTATTATTATTGTATCAGAATAATGAATGGACAAATTCTTGGAATGTAAAATTTTGGAAAAAAATATGATAAATATAATATAATGAATTATAATTATAATTGTTAATTTTATATCATGATATGACAAAAAATAAAAAGTAAAGAATAAATTTTTTCAATAATTTTTATAAGAAGAATTTTGATATAAAATAATTTTGTGTGCAATGTTTTACAATACAGAAAAAAACACAGACAATAATTTAATATTTTCAATATTGACAGTATACAAAATAATTGGCAAAAGCAGGCAGGGACGCACAACGTATAATGAGACTGTCAAGTGTTTACTATCGTCTCACGACGCATTGCACCGTCCCTGTCTGTCCGTTGTATCGGACTCGTAAGTAGTAAACTATTTTTCAATTATAAGTCGAAAACTAAGCTTCGGACAAAATTTTGTAAAAGGAAAAATCGTCTCAGAATTTGCTCAAGAATATGGCATTGCAAGGATATCAGGTTATTTTAAATCACCCTGTATATCAGAACACCAGAGTAAAGAAGCAGAGCAATAAACAAATGCGCACAAATAGAAAACAGATCAAAATGCAACTTTGCGACTAAGTAAATATGTAATAGAAAAAGGGTCTTACCTTTCATAAAAATGGAGAGCAAAATAAACAGTTCAGCTGTTGATGAGCAAAAACGCAAGAGGTTTGTGTCGGATAAAATTTCCAAAATAAGGTGGCAGTATAAAAATTTTACTGAAGCAAAGAATTTTTTAACGGACAGTTGGGACAACCCGATAAGAATTCCAATAAATTGTAATCAAATTATAACAGGAGCTCTTCTGTTATTAAGTAGATGTAGAGACAAACTGAAAATTTAGCGAGTATTTCACAAATATAAAATGAACATAAAGATATGACAATTTTATGGCAATATTCATCTACATAATAATTAATATTTTTTCATAAAACTAATTAAAATTGAGGAATGGTGAACAAACAGTTATATTGGGATTTTAGTGCTCAATAATAGTTATTTGATTTAAACGCAACTCTTAAACAAGAATAATAGTATACACAGTTACAATATTAAATTAACAATTAATTTAATAATATTGATGCTAACAATGCTATTGATGCATCTATTACTCAGACAGCACATAATATTCAAAAGACGTCCAGAGGATATCCTGAGGACCCTTTTGGAACGACAGGACGTCCTCTGGATATCCTTTGGATATATTTTGGATATGTGTGCAGTCTGGGTAGCACATATATGTTATCCATTGTTCCTAGCCCCTTCCTGAACTCCGTTTGGTTTTGTGGTATTATTTCTTTTCCCTCTACCTCTTTCCTTATCTTTTCTGTCAACACCATCATATACACCTTGTACAACGTATCCATTAAAGTCACTCCTCTATATTCTTCCACCCTCTTTCCCTCTCCTTTCTTCTTAATCGGTATTACCCTTCCTTCCATCCTTCTGGCCATCCCCTCCCATTCCATATCTCCCTACACAATTTCCAAATCCATTCTTCCAGTTCTTCTCCTCCAAATTTCCATACCTCTCCCGGTATCTCATCCGCCCTCGCTGCTTTTTTACCTTCAACTTCCCTATTGCCGCCTTTAACTCTTTCCTTCCTATTTCCTCCTCCCATTCTTCTTTCTCTTCTTCCTCTCCCCTTCTTCTCTCTCCCATCACCACTTTTCCCTCTACCCCCCCTAATATCCTCATAAAGTATTCATTCCATTCCTTCATTTTTATCTCTTCTTCTATTCTCCTATTTTTCTTCCTCTCTTTATTTATTAAATCCCACACTTCACTCTCCTTTTTCACCTTCCTTGCTCTTTTTTCCCATCTTTCTCCTTCTTCTTTTTTCTTTCTTTCGCATAGCTCCCTATATTCCTTTTTTTCTTTTCTATATTCCTCCCCTCCCCTCTCTTTCCTCTTCCATTTCCCTAACTCTTTCCTCACCACCCTCTTTTTTTCCTCGCACTCTCTATCCCACCATCCTCTTCTAGTCTTGTCTTCCTTCTTCCCCTCCTCCTCCATTTCTTTTAACGCTTCTTTTATCCTTTTTTCCATTTCCTCCCCTTCCTCTTTTACCCCTCTTCCTCCAAAGCTTATCCTCCCTAATTTTTTCTTAAATTCTTCTTTCCTTTTCTCGTCCCAAATTCCTCTCCATTGTCTTCTTTTCCACTTTACTCCTTCTCCACTTTTCCTCCTTCCTTCCCTTCTTATCCATATTTCCACCGGTTGGTGGCCCGAATCCACTCTTTTCCCTACTCTTAATCTTTCTACCTTCTCTCTCACCTCTTCACTCCCTATAACATAATCTATCACCGAGCCACCTCTTCCCCCTGTAAATGTTAGTTTCCCTTCGTCGTCCCCCTTCGTGCACCCGTTTAAAATTCCCCATCCTCTTTCCTCAATAAATTCTATCATTTTCCTTCCCTCTCTGTTTATCCTCTTGTCCTTCGAAGCTCTTTCCCTACGCCACCCCTCCTTCTTTCCTTTCTCTCTCCCATCACCCTCTTCCATTCCTCCCCCTTCCTCACCTGTCCTTGCATTAAAGTCCCTCCCTATAATTGTATCTCTCTGTAATTCTCCCTCTTCTACACAACTCTTTAATTCTTGCAACGAAATTTCTATACTTTTCTTTATATATATCCCTATTATTTTCCAACTCTTTTTCTCTTCCCTTACTCTTCCTATTATCATACCTTCTTTCTCCGTCACTATTCTTTCACCTTTTTCCATTAGATGCTTCCTTATCCCCATTATCATCCCTCCCATTGCCCTTCCCTTTCTGTTTTCCTTCTCTGCCCATTGTGCTCCCCAGATGTATCCTTTTGGTAGTCTTCTTTTTATTTCCTCCCATCCCTTTTCCTCCATCCATGTTTCTATGAGTATTATTACTTCCCACTCCCTTAAATTTTTCCAAAAATCCACATCTTTATTTCTTAATCCTGCCACATTCCAGAACCCTATTCTCCATGTGCTCTCCCTCCCCCCTTTCTTCTTCTCTCTCTCCTTTCTCCTTTTTAGCCTCCTTACTTTTTCTTTTCCTCTGCCTCTTCCCCCTGCTCCTCTCTCCATCTACCTCCATTTTCGTCCCTTAATTTTCCCTCCTGCTCGTCCCATATCCACCATTGCTCCCCTATCTTTATTCTTCCATACTCTATCTTTACTCTCTTTCCTTTACTCTCCTCCCTTCTTGCTATTTCTGTTAATTTCCATTTTATCTTTCTCTGCACCCATGTCCAGTCTTCTAAAATTCTTTCCCTCCTTCCTTTCAACACCTTCTTCTTTTTTCATATTTTATCCCTCTTTTTCCTTTCCTCTACTCTTATTCCTACCATTTCCCTACCTCTCTCTCTCTCCTTTTTTATCTTCCATATCTCATTTATTCTTACTTCCACCCCTATATCCTTCATAATCTCTTCCACTGCCTCTCTTCTCTTCCCTTCTTTCATCTCTACCTCCCTTATTACTAAATTCTTTCTCCTTTCCTCCCTCTCTTTCCTCTCTATCCTTCTCTCCAGTTCTCTTATCCTTCCTTCCATCTCCTTTTTTTCTTCCCCTCCTCTTTTACTTTCCCTCTTGTCTCTTCTCCCCTTTCTCCTTCCTCCAATTTCTTTATTCTTCCTTCTAACCTTTCAATACTCCTTCTTAATTCCTCTCTTTCCCTTTCCCATTTCTCTTCCCTCACTTTCATTTCTTTGCCTATTTTCTCCAACTCCTCTTTCATCTCCACTTTCATCTTTCTTATTTCTCCCAACCATTCCTTCATGCTCATCCTCATCACTTCTTTTATTATTCCCTCTATATCTTCTTTTTTGCATATCTTTCCTTTTTTCTCCTCCCCCCTTTCTTCTCTTTTTCCCGTCTCTTCCCCTCTCTCTTTCCCCGGTGATCTCGGGATTTTTTTACTCCTTACCAGTGATGCGATCTTTCCCACAGCCGAGCCGGGACCGCTGTAGGAAAGATCGCATCACTGCTCTTTACCACGGTGTAAGAATATAAGGTGATTTCACGACCATTGTATTCTATCAAAAAATCTGTGATCAAGATGTCATAGTTAAGGCATGTCACACAAGATGTCACGTTGGTGCAAAATTCCAAGTAAAAAGAATAAAAGATATGGATAGATGTGGATAGAAAAGGATAGATGATGAATCTCTAAAGCACATCTATGGCTGCGTTCCGTAAAGAGCATATGCGCGCATGTATCTACAGTATACGTTACGTATACTATAGATACATGCGCGCATATGTGCTTTACGGAACGCAGCCTATATATAATTATAGTCCTAAATAATACAAATTTTAAATAAAACTTTTAACATTGTGTATAAAATATATATTACTGACCAAATATTTTATTTTATAACAAATTATTCTTAGTTAAATTTGCAGAAAATAATTAATAATGTATTCCAGTCTTTATGAAAATTAGTTTCTTTAAGAAAATAAATATTTATAATTAAGTTCCGCAGGACAATAAAATTTTAATAAAATTTATATATATATTTAAAGTCCTTCAACACGTAGCCACCTAGTGGTTCAATGTGGAACAATGACAGGAAAATCACAAAAATTTGTTGCCGTAAAATCACCTTATATTCTTACACCATGCTCTTTACGAATATCTCTGCCTCTTCCCCCCTCTCCCTTTTTTTCCTCAACTCCTCTATACTTCCTATACTGCTACCTCTTTCTCTTCTTCCTCCCAATTGACTCACTCTGTCTCCCGATCCTATTTCTTTTCTATCCCGCTCCGTCGCGCCACTAGCCATTCTTCCTTCTCTCTCCGCTTACTTATTCCACTCTATCTATTCTCTACTCTCTGCCCGAACCGTCCTGCTTCTACTCAGAGCTGCCAGTTTTCCCCGGAGAGCTCCACACGCACACAACCGAGACCCGCTGACGTCACGTGTCCGTGTGCGCTCGGCTGTCGACTGGTAGAAGTGGGCGGACCTATGTCTTGTATCTCTTTCCCACCAAGCCTAGCATAAAATCCGGTTTTAAACGCTCGCACCGTTTCTTCTGCCAAGCGTTGGCAGCGAAAATGCTTTCCAGAATGCTTTCGCTCCACGCGACTAAGTCGACTAGCGGCGTGTTGCTTTCGCTCGACGCGATATTTTTTCTGAGATTTACAGTCTTTTATGAAACATATATCATATTCATATTAATAAAATATTTTAACATTATGTATTTGCAGAATATGATTTTTCACGTTAATGTATAAAATAAGAATAAAGTAATAAAAATTATATATTGCAATATATAAACAAAACAAGTAACATTTAATATATTATTAATTTATTTATATGTTCCAATTTTACACATTAACGTGAAAAATCACATTATAAATGCATAATATCCTTTGTAAATAGCAAGATACATTGAGAAGTAAAGGAAAGAATTGATTGAAAATAAAAGAAACATGTTTTTACTTAAAAATATTTATGACTATCTTATTTAACACAAAAGTAATCTGGACAAAGCATACCAATGTGATTATACATCGGATAGTTTAGTATTTTAACTTTATTTACTTTATTAACCATTTTAATATAGTGGTTTTCCGCACCACCCAAGAGGTTCCACTAATGGTGCGTTAGATTTTTTCAAGTGGATCTTCGCCAGGAGCCCTATTGTACCACTTTTCATTTTTCTTTATACATTACCTTTATATAGATATAGTGTCGTTTGCAGACAAGATACTTATCATACACTTGTCGGTCATAAATATGGTGTCATTTACAGACAAAATACTTGTTACATGCCTATCGTTTATAAGTGTGGTGTCCTTTGTAGACATATTAATGAAATTTTATTTATCTCAATTAAAAATGATAAGGGTCAACAAATAATAAAATTATAAAAGGAAAGGAGCAATAGGAATCAAAACGCTAGATTTTAGTGTGAACGAACTTATATTGAGTTATAATAACATTAGTATAAACAGACATTTCATAACCTGTCATCAGGCTATCCTTAGTGTGAAATAAAAACGCACGCTGATTTACATTAAGATCTGAGTTAAAACAAATATAATTTAAACGCAAGATTTGTTGTAAAATTAATGAAAAAAGTTAGTTTTAACATTGATATAATCAATATTAGCTCGTCGGTTTTTACAAATAAAAGTTCGTCGGGTTTACAAATAAAAGATAGAAGAAAAAATTAAAATTAAAAATTTAGTCAAAAATTTAATAAAAAAAGTTAGATTAAAAT